GCCGAGCTATAAGGAGAAAGTCGTTAAAGATAATTAATCTAGTATTAGTATAAATAAGAGTTTTAGTGTTAGGATTCAGGGTATCAAAATCATTACAAAAACTCACAAACTCAAAGTATCCTTATGTCAAGCGAGAAACAAGTCATTTGAGCGAAATGTATGACACTGGACACCATGTTCTTTACATTTTAAGCAATTTCCCTTTATTTTAACTTACATTTTTCTGCACTTTACCTTTACTTTTCGCCTTACTTTTTATCCAGATTTCGTCCAAATCGAAATCTCTCTATTTTCTGCAAATTTTATTTTAACTCAATAAAAATCAAAATAACTTTCACTTTACACCAAACATTCAAACAAAGTCACAAGTATCCTATGCAAATATATCCTAGAATCATCTAGTCAATCATGCGAATAATTTTTTTTAAAAAACTAATATTTGTTTACGGATTCTCACAATAAACAGAGATGGAGGGCTCAAATTTTGAAATGTGCTTTCACAAAAAATGTGATGAAAACTGAAAGTATATAAATGCTCCTTGTTTTGAAATCTCTTATGATAGAACAAATATGATACTCGTATCATTAATTTAATTGTGTATAGAAGTTGGATAAGGCCTAAGATTAGAAGTCAATTTGTTCATCTTATGATGTCATAACTTAATAATACTAGTATGGTTGCATAGGTCTGGTTGTAAATGGGTCCAAATAAATAAATAAAATAGTTTTCAATTGTGGTTCTTCACAAATTTTAAACATGTGGTCATGAAAGAATATATAAATAGTAGAAAAAGTGTATTTATAAAAAAGTATTTAAGAGCAAAAATTAATTTGATTAATTAAATTTAAATATTTACTAAATTATAATAAACTATTATTAAATTATGAAACAAAAATAATTTTTTATATTATAATAATATATATTTTTATTTAATAATTTATAAACAATAATTATTTTTATAATATATTTCATAATAATATATAATATATATATTTATATATTTATATTTATATTGAAGTATGCTATCTTGACACCACACAAATATTTATATTCTACCTCTCTTTATCGTATTTATATGATGAATATTGTTTTTTAATAAAATAATATTATTTAAAAAAATATTTTTAAAATTTATTTTCTAACACAAATATAAATTTGTGTCAATTATTTTATTTAAATTTATTAATTAGTTTTACTATTTCATTAATTAATAAAATATATATTATTAATTATATTCTGACACTAATTTATAAATATATTAATCAATTTTTAAACTCTATTAACCAATTTTATTTTACTATTTAATATTTTTATGTTTAAAAATTTATTAATTAAATTATAAATTATATTAATTAATTATATCTATAATATTAATCAAAATCTGTATATATATTAAATTTTTTTGTTAGAATATATATTAAACAAACTTTAAATTTTATTAATCAATTTTTAATATTTAATAATATTAACAAAATTTTATATGATATATATTAAATTTTTATTAAAATATATATTAACTAAACTTTATATTGTATTAATCAATTTTTAATATTTAATTAATCAAAGTAATTTAAAAAATATATATATATTAAAAAATTAAAATAATATATATACAGAGGTGTAGTGTCAAAAAAAAATAGTGTCAAAATAGCAATTTTTCATTTATATTGCATACTATTAGAATGATACAATTGTTCATTTCACCGTCGCGTTCTCCTCACAACCACACCACCGCCACTTACGTCGAAGCGTCACCACCGTTAAATAGAGAACACCACCGCCACCAACGATGTTTTTGGGAAGACGCTCCGTTGTTCATCTTCTTCCCAATTCCCACCTCAAAATTTTCACTTCCTCATTTTGTTCCCAATCACTCACATTCCCCCAAAATCAACAACAATGGCTTCAAACCTTTCAACACCTCCAGTCATTAATCGACCACGGCCGCACAAAACCCGCCCAAACCATCTTCAAATCGCTTATTCTCTCCAACGCCCCTTACTCCTTCCCTTCGCAAATCCACTCCCTCATATCCAAACCCATCTTCCTACAAACCCTCTTACCCTTTTGTTCCAATCCCAACACTATCAACAGAGTCATTGAATTGTTCTACTCCATGAAAAATGACGGCTTTGTCCTTCCCATTTGTTTTGTTAATTCTCTTCTTCAAACCCTTGTTCATTTACACCAGTTTGAAAAAGCTCTCACTCTTTTTAATGATGTTGTTCAATCGGGTGTTCGGCCCGATGCTTTTTCGTATAAAAAAGCGGTACATTCTGCTGTTATGATGAAGGATTTAAATAAGGGGTTTGAGTTGGTTAATTCAATGGAGAGAGATGGGATTCGTCCTTTTGTTTATGTGTATAATTTGATTTTGGGTGGGTTGTGTAAAGGGAGAAGAATTAAGGATGCACGGAAGATGTTTGATGAAATGATTGAGAGAAGTGTGGTTCCGAGTACAGTTACTTATAATACGCTTATTGATGGGTATTGTAAGGTGGGTGAAATAGAGGAAGCTTTTAGTTTGAAGGCTAGGATGAAGGCTCCGTACTCGGAGGCAAATATTGTTACTTATAATTGCTTGTTAAGTGGTCTTTGTGGTTTGGGGAGATTGGAAGATGCTAGGAGGGTGTTCTTGGAGATGGAGGGGAATGGTTTTCTGCCTAAGGGGTTTTCGTGTTTTTTATTTGATGATAATTTTGTTTGTGAAAATGAAAATGGTTTGCTAGATGGAAGTGTAACACGGGTTGATGAGCGTACTTATAGTGTTTTGTTGAATGGATTGTGCAGGGTGGGAACGGTTGAAAAGGCTAAAGAGGTTTTGGCAAAGCTAGAAGATAATGGGGTTGTTCCAAGTCAGATATCATATAACATACTGGTGAATGCTTATTGCCAAGAGGGTGACTTGAATAAAGCGATATTGACGGTTGAAGGAATGGAAAATCGAGGGTTGAGGCCTAGTTATGTTACCTTCAATACCCTGATTAACAAGTTTTGTGAAACTGGGGAGTTGGACCAGGCAGAGAGATGGGTTAAGAAGATGATAGAGAAGGGTATTTCTCCCACTGTTGAGACTTATAACTCTTTGATTAATGGTTATGGTATGGCGTGTGATTTTGTCAGGTGTTTTGAGATTCTTGAGGAAATGGAGATGAAAGGAATAAAGCCTAATGTCATAAGCTATGGTTCTCTGATAAACTGTCTGTGCAAAGATCGTAAGCTTCTTGATGCTGAGATTGTGCTTGGGGATATGGTAGGGCGCGGGGTTTCTCCAAATGTAGAAATATATAATATGCTCATTGAAGCTAGTTGCTCACTGAGTAAACTGAAAGATGCCTTCAGATTTTATGATGAAATGATAAAAAATGGAATAGATGCAACTCTTGTGACATACAATACACTGATACATGGAATCGGGAAAAATGGAAGGGTAGCAGAAGCTGAGAATCTGTTTCTCCAGATGATCAGCAAGGGATATAATCCAGATGTGATTACATACAATTCCTTAATGTCCGGATATGCAATGTCAGGAAACCCTAAGAAATGCCTTGAATTGTACGATAATATGAAGAAGGGGGGCATAAAACCTTCAATTGGGACTTTTCATCCTTTGATCAATTCATGCAGGAAAGAAGGTGTTGTGACAATGGAGAGAATGTTTCAAGAAATGTTGGGAATGGACTTAATTCCAGACCGAGCTGTATATAATGAAATGATCTATGGTTATGCTGAAGATGGAAATGTTCCGAAGGCAATGTCTTTGCACCAACAAATGGTTGATCAGGGAGTTGATTCTGACAAGGTGACTTACAACTGCTTGATTCTAGCACACCTTAGAGATAGAAGGGTCTCAGAAATAAAACATCTTTTTGATGATATGAAGGCAAAGGGTCTGGTTCCAAAAACTGATACATATAAAATTTTGGTTAAGGGACATTGTGACTTGAAAGATTTCAATGGTGCGTATTTTTGGTATAGGAAAATGTTCGATACTGGTTTCATTTTAAATGACCGCTTGTGCTATGAGCTAATATCCGGGCTTAGAGAGGAGGGAATGCTGCGGGAAGCCCAAATTGTATCCTTAGAGTTGAGTAGTAGAGTTCAACAACTTGAAGGCTAGTAAACGATACACACCATTATAGATTATCGAACTTTACCATTTTGGTAATGTTACTTGGGATAGAGATCTCTGACGACAGTCGACCCATGAATGGGAGAAAAGAAGGGAAGAAAGAAAAGAAGAGAAATAAAGTAAAAATTGGGTTGGGGAGTAATAGAGAAATGAAAAGGGAAAGTAAGTGTAAAAGGATATGTCCAAAAAAAAAAGTGTTCGAAAAACAGGATCATATTACATCCAGGAAGTCAAAGTCAGGCATCCAGGGCAGAGAAGTTAAATAAACACATGCTGATAATGGTAAGACTATGTAATTCTAATTGTTTACTCACAATTTTTTGTAGATTTTAGTTATTGAGAATTTTTAAGTGTGATTAGACAAACAATAGAATTAAACTCCTTATTCAATTAACTTTTATAGAGAGCGTAATTAAACACTCGTTCATAAACCATTTATGGATATCCTGTAAGCTATTTCTCTAAAAGTTTTTATTTGAAAGGATGAGCATATGTTGCTGTATTATGTAAGTCCAAATAAACTCTTTGGGATGCTTCTTGGTGTGTAACTAACTGCTTACACTGTTGTCTCTTTTATTTTGGAATGACAGATGTACTATGTTAGAATATGTTAGTGTTATATTGTGGGTGGAGACAGAACCCTCAGTTTCCTTATTCACTCCACCACTTAAATCCTCTATTCTAACCACCAAACTAACCTTATATCTCCTTGATGAAATTAAAACTAGTTCCCACAATATAATGATATGCTTATATCGTTGTCTGTTTGTACTATGTACTATCAGATTTACTTGTATAAATCTGAGGAAGAAAAATATAAAATCCGACTCTTCTACTTACACGGTCTAGATAAGTGACTGTTGTAAGATGTCGAAATATGGAGAAGCCTTATCTTGTATGGAAGAAATGATGCATCTCAAACTTCCTATGTCCGAAAAGGTCTACCCATCTGTAATATGTGCCTATATATAGCAAACGGAGGGCCTCGGTTAGGGTTCATTTCAATGCCGCATTCATGTGAGACTTCTGTTTCTTTTCCTGAACATTTTTGTTTTTTATTTGTGATAATGTTTTAGGGCCAAATCTTAGAAGCAGAGTTTACATTGAAATTGATGAAATCATCTGGTTGCAATCCAGATGTGGTTACATATACTGCAATGCTTGATGCCAACAATGCAACAGGTAAAATAATTTTTAACTGCTACAATATTAGGATGGCTGGATACCATCCTGTACATGGAGCCCTCACTTCCTGTAATTTCATCTGGTTGTTTAAATCTGTTCCTGAATTCTTTAGGAAAATGTGGAAAGATTGAAACTATGTTTAAGGTATGTATGTCGAATCTTCCTTATGATATTTATGAAGTTAATGTTAACCAACACATGAAATATGATTTCCCACATCTAGACATCTCTTTCCAACTTATAATCTTATTTTTCGCGTGTACAGTTAATTCTTCCAAATGTTGGCATCGGGTGCTTATGTTAACTTCAATTTGAAAAACCTTTTATCATCTGGAAATTGGAGAAAATATTTAGAGGTAAGTCTCTTTCGGCCTCTCTTTCCATCTTTCATGCGCATGCTTAGTTAATTTGAATGTAATGGTAATACACAGAGAATTTAACTACATGACTTTGGTGCTGTGTCTCCAATGCCACTTACACTAGTCTTGTAGAGACTTTTGCTATTCATGAAACTCAGTCATGAATGTGTGTTTTCATTTTCCTAGTATTTCACATTGCAATCAATCACATGGAAAATGAAGCAAATTCTGTTGCAGGCACTACAATGGATGGAGGATGCAGGAATTTGTCCCTCAAATGAAATGTACCGCGGTATATCCTCTTTTTCACAAATGTTGTGGGGCTGAAAATGCTGCTGTCATATGACAAAGACTTGGTATGGATACTCTATTTCTTGTTGTATTGTATTGAGAAATTTGCTCTGTTGTGTATATCCTCTTTTAATGCACTTTGCTTGTTTAAATAAGTTTAATATCTATCAACCGGTGTGATACAAACCACAGAATTACAAGTGAAGGAATATTATCAGTTATAGAATTAAGGAGCACAGTGGCTCTTTCATCAACAAGTAAAGAGTGGTCTAGAGCTTGAGGTCAGGCTCCTACCAGAGAAATATTTCTCCTAACAAACTTTGCAATTAACAAACATGACTCTCACTACACTTCCTGCAACAATGTATTCTCCTTCTCCCCTAACTGATTAGAATCCAGGTCCACGCCATAACTAACTTTCCCTTACCCGTTCTGCTGGCAAGTATTACTTCTTTGGGCTTAATCATAGATCTTGTTTCTAGGTTCAAGTCGGGTACGCCCACAACTCTCTCGAATTGGGTCCAATAATATGAGCCCTTGAATTAGGACCTCTAAGTTCCCTTTTTTTTTTACGAACCATTTGAGTCCAATAATATGAGCCCTTGAATTAGGACCTCTAAATTCCCTTTTTTTACGAACTCTTGTGTTATTATTGAATTGGGTTTAAATCTATTAGTTTCACTTCAGCCCAAATTGTAAATTCCTTTCCAAATAAACTACTATTACCTTGAGCATGGCCCATCAGGTAAAGAAAGGTATTCGACTTACAGATTGTTGATATTTTCCCCTTGGTGTCCCTTTCTCAGATCTGCAAATTCTTCTAACAAGGAGAGCCTTCGACAGTGTGATGGTGGTTCGACGTCCGGTGGCTTTGGTGGTGTGATTGTGACAGAAGAACATGCCACTTGCTTCTTTCATAATCTCTCCTCCTTCAACTAAGCCGAATTTGACAGTGGTACGAAATGAAGCTCTTTCGTGTCTGTTTTTAAACTATATATAGGCAGTTCTCCTGTGAAGCTCTTATTTAAACTAGCGTTATTTGCTGACTTTCTTCTTCATTTAATTGGTTCCTCATCAAGGAAGATTTATTTTCTCGTCCTTTTTTGTTTGTTCAAAATGCATGTCAGTTAAATTGCATAGTTTCTGTTCTTACATGTGGAGAAACTTGATGGCACAAACTCTCATCAATAGACATCTTGTGCATATTAACCTCGGTTGCCACTTTTAAAGAAGTTGGTGATTTGTTTTACCAGGGAGTGATCCCTTTCTTCTGCTTTAATTGATATTATTTTCTATTCCCTTTGTTTCACAGGTCCTATTCACAACTTTATAGCAGATTTGACTATCTTTTGGCGGATATAATAGTTTAACTTAGAGTTATCCTGTTCACGTGTTCACGAATATGAACAGAATCTTTGAAAAGAAAACTCGAGGATCAAACTTCTGCAAGCCAACCATATGAATCTCATGTTCTTAGTCGCCTGTCATCATGGAATAGCTTTGATTCACTGTTCCAAACTACTGGGTGAGTTATGTGCACGAGTTTGTGAAAGATTGAAGCTGGATCTCAAGTAAATTTATTCGATCATTCTCTATTCCCGTGGAAGATTTATTTTTCAGCATTTGTTCCTGATTACTATCTGAGCCCATACGTGTCCTTAGTAAATAAAACAATTTTTATGGTGTTCAGTTCGGACTTTTTGTAACATGCATTTTGTCTTTAAAGCAAGGAAAATGCTGCTTTTGCAAGCTCAGTTGTAAGTTCACTCTCTATAGTTTGCAAGGTTATAGTCATTTGCATTTGCTTTTAAGTAACTGTTTGGAATGTGTTGTGCACCAATTTTTTCTCATGAATTAAAAAACTTTTTTTTTTAGTTACTATCAATATCAATCAATATTCAAATTATAAAACTTAATGACCACCAAAAACATCATCTTGCCTTATTCTTAATTTCCCCCCTCATTTCTATTATTTTTTGGAACACTTACATTGTTGATCGATTTATCAATGTGACAGATTCAGGTATTGTCTATCATACTGCACTTTCATTACAATAACCTTCAACTCCTTACATCTTCAACAACATTTTATACTTCCCATCTCCACCAGAATTCTTACTAATTTCTTCACATAGAACTAGAAATTAAAATTAGAAATTAAAAGAAAAAAAGGACAAGATCTAAACAATTGTTGTAAAATCAAGCTTCTCAAATAGCTTTTGTTTTGATGAAGACAAATCATGGCTATCAAAGAAGGCAAAGATTTATGATCAAGTTCAAAGCATCTAAGGATAATATCTTCTGTTCAAAGCTCTCAACAACTTTAAAGGTATAATAATATTATCTACTTTGATCTTAAGATATAGATGCTCAAAAATGAAAAAAGAAATGTTTAAGAATCATTACTCAAGTTTTTTCAAAGTTAAAATTTCATTTTTCTTTTGCATGCAATCGATTTGCATTTTAGTGCAATCGATTGCACACTTCAAACTTTCAGATCTTTTGCTTCTGTTTCTCTGTGCAATCGATTTACATTGCTTGTGCAATCGATTGCATACTTAAAATTTTTAGATCTTTTGTTTCTATGTGCAATCGATTTACATTGCTTGTGCAATCGATTGCATATTTAAAATTTTCAAAACGTTTGCTTCTATTTCTCAGTGCAATTGATTTACATTGCTAGTGCAATCGATTGCACTCACTTACTTTTTGCTACTGACTTTGCATGCAATCGATTTGCATTGATAGTGCAATCGATTGCACTCTTAAAAGTTTTGAAAATATAGTTGTTGAAATCTTGTGCAATCGATTTACACAAAGGGTGAAATCGATTGCATGCTGCACGATTTTGAAAACAACAGCTTTTTACATGCCTGTTCCTCATGCCTTTTCATTGAAACCTTTCACTCAAACTTGGCATTTGTTCATGATACATTTTCAGAACTTCATGATGTTTCAAAAGGGTGTTATGAACATATAAATATTCAATTTCAAAATCTATTTCAACACCTCTTCCATAAATATTTTCTGAAATTTCAAAATACAAACTCAAACATTTCTTCACTTTCATGCATAAGTTTTCTGCACATTTTCATACTTTAACAAACAGAAAACTTTGAGCAATTATATCTTGAGTCATTGTACAATAATATTATTGGAAGAGAAGATCATACATTATTAAATCACTCTAAGTGATCAATATTACTCTACTCACTCAAATTCAAAAATTGATAATTACTTACTTATTTTTTCAGGATTGTTGGAAATAAGTTTAAGTGTGTTCCAAATCTTGTCTTTTCAAAGTTGTTGGATACAAGTATAGTTACATTGAGAGGATTGTTCGCATAGCTAACTTAGTGAAAATTCAAGAGGATTGTTTTTGGTCCAAGAGGATTGTTCTTGGTTGTTTGGTAGTTCTTGTTTAAGTTTGCCATAATAAGGAAATCTCTTTCATGTTGAAAGGGAACTGGAGTACTCTCAGACTGTGAGGGGAATCAGGATATATCGCCCGTATCTTTTATTTTTTCTGCATTTTACGCTTTCCTAAAATCATCATTAACCAGAAAAATAAAAACCATCATCACTAAAAACCAGAATTTTTAAAGTACCTAATTCACCCCTCCTTCTTAGGCGCACTTCGTACTTACAATTGACATCAGAGCAGGTTATAGGTAACCTGTTCCTAAAAGATCCAGAATGGCTTCCGCAAATCAAAATCCCGTTTTCAGAGATGGTGGTAGTAACAACAAGCCTCCTCTATTTTGTGGTGAATATTTTGACTTCTGAAAAATACGTATGAAGGTAAATCTAGAAGTACAAGGAGAAGAAATATGGGATGCCGTCGAAAATGGTCCATTTATTCCTATAACGGTAATCAATGGTGTTGGCTCATCAAAGGCTAAAACTGCATGGGACGATGATGATAAGAAGAAAGTTCTCTATGATAAAAAGGCAATAAACCTTCTTCAAGGTGCACTTAGCATGGACGAATTCTTCCGTGTCTCGGCATGCAAAACAGCAAAAGAAATATGGGATACCTTTGTACAAACTCATGAAGGAACGGTTGAAGTAAAAAGATCAAGACTAAATACCCTAAGTCAAGAATATGAATTATTTCGAATGCAGCCCGGAGAAACCATTCTTGACTTACAAAAGAGATTTGTGCACTTGATAAATCATCCAAGTGCTCTAAGGTAAAACTTTGACGAATGATGAACTAAATTTGAAAGTACTTAGGTCCTTAACTAGGGAATGGCAACCAAAAGTAACGATAATTTCAGAAAAGAAAAGTCTCTCCAACATGACATCCACAACATTATTTGGAAAACTTCAAGAATACGAAACGGAACTCGGAAGACTTGAAAAGCATGAAAATCAAGAGAAGAAATTCAAGAATATTGCTTTGAAGATACACTCCAAGAAAGTTGAAAAGGAAGACAATCCGGAAGAAGATGAAAACTTCATGCTTCTTGTTAAAAGGCTTGGTAAGTTCTTCGGTAGAAATGACAAACCTTTTTCTCATTCAAAAGGAAAGAAACAATTTAAGAAAAAGGAAGCTTCGACATCAACACAAGAAATCACATGTTATGAGTGTGGTAAGCAAGGTCATATCAAGCCGGATTGTCCAAAACTCTCCAAGAAAGGTGGCTTCAAAAGTAAGAAGGGATTCAAGAACAAAAAGGCTTATGTCGCATGGGAGGACAATGAAATAAGTTCCTCATCCGATTCCGATAATAATGAAAGTGAAAATCTAGCATTGATGGCCTCACACCATTCCGATGATGAAGACAATGAGGTATGCTTGAAGACCACATACAATCTTTGGTATCTTGATAGTGGTTGTTCAAAGCATATGACAGGAGACATAAACCAATTTTCACATCTAGCGCTAAAGGCCAAGGGTTTTGTCACTTATGGAGACAATAATAAGGGAAGAATCTTAGGCAAAGGCAAAGTTGGTGCTCCACCTTTCACATCCATTGAAGATGTT